TTTTAAAATTAGATGTATTATTTTCTTAATTAGATATAATTTCATCCAATATTAGATATAAATTTTTTTTGAAATTAGATATAGATTGCCATATTTTTAGATATTAGTTTATATTTGCCCCAATATTAAATACTTTAGGTCCTTTTATATTCAAAAACAAAAACAAAAAATAATGAATATTAATCTCTTTTTGTGGGTGCTTTTTTTTTCTTACCAGCTAATAAAATAAAAAGTATAACAGTTAATTGATAAATAGCATGACCAATAATATTTTTCATCACTATGCGAGATATTAATGGTTTTGTATGTCCATAAGGTTTACGTGTTAATAATTCTTCTGTTGGTGCTTCAATAGCAAGTGCTAATAATGCCAATGCATTCACAATTAAAGAAATCCATAACATTTGTACACCACGTAATGGAGAATCTTTTACAATACATGCTCCAATAAAAGCACACAATACCACAACAACATTAACAGTTAATTGGAATTGAAGAGATTTTACTACTGAATCATAAACATTACGACTCCACATAACAGCTTTGACGATTGAATTCGGACTATCATCAACAAGAATTATATCTGATGCTTCTTTTATTGCATCGGTACCTTGTATACCCTATTAAATAAATTACAGATTAACTTGACAATCAGAATTTAGCATAATAGAAATAGTTGATAAAGCTTATTAGTTAATATATAGAATCAAATATGCAAATAAATACCAATCTAGATTTATAATTGAACTACTTCAACGAATTACATAAAATTCGAGTATGTATTGAGATTTACACTTTATTTGTATTAATTTTATTCTGATTCTAGATCTGTGATTAGATCCTTCTTAAATTTGTGTATCGATCTGACTTTTTTCTGAATCTATATTTAAGATATATACTAAATGTCGTAGTCCACTTTAGAAAAAATCATTTTCAAGTTTCAACTTGAAATTTGTACAGAGCCACAGACTTGAATGAGAATAATTTGACAGGAAGGTTTTAAATCTTTTGACTTGTTTCTCTCCTAATATATGAACATTGAATCTACTGGTGTATATGAGCAACATCATATAATAACTGTATCTTAGACACAGGTCAAGTGAGGTTCTCAAGATTGTGGGGGTGGGGTGCATAAGAAAATGTCTCAGACAGATTGCTAAAATTCAAAAGTTTCACTGGATAATAATGAATAACTTTTAATAATTAGGAAGTAAAGCTCGTTGATTAGACTCGGACCCACTCAGGTTGGGTCCCAACATTTTGAACTCGACGGTTTCTATTAATGCATCTTTACGTTTCTCCCCTGCTTTTGTGATCTTAGCATAGGAACAAGAAAAAGAGCTGAAATTTTCACTATAAACAATTCTCGCAAAAATTTATCATTTTGTAAAATCTCTAATTGAAATTCGAAGACTATTTTTTCCAGTATTCCTTAATAGAAACTGCGATACTATATTATGAAATACAGTATCTCAACAATAATAAGCTAAGAGTTTGAATCATTTTCAGGATTTTTATAATTCATTAGAACCTACATAATGCACATTACTCTCAAAATCTAAATCATTGCATAGCCAACGAACATTATTCATCATGTCGTGTTTTACAATTGAATAGTCTCCTGTATAAATTATGCAAAAATAAAAGAAAACAAAAACTAACCATTGCAAAAGCGACATCAGCTATTTTTAAAGCAGGAGCATCATTTGTTCCACTACCGGTAACAGCAACAACTTCACGTGTCGGATTGATTTTTGATGCCATAATACCTCTCACAAGCACATATTTAGTTTGTGGTGATGAACGAGCTAATACACGTAGATGTGGCCAAACTTTATCAAATAAATTTTGTTCAACCTACAATTAAAAACAAAAATACAAATTTTAACAAAAAAAAAATGTAAATTTTTAATAATTTATCTACCTCTCCATTTAGTGTTGATCTTATGCGTCTATTAAATTCTGCACCTTCAAGTACTAAAGCATTATCATTATGTGATATAATTCCACACTTAAGTGCAATCGATCGAGCTGTATTAATATTATCTCCTGTAACCATTCGTACTGTTATGCCAGCATTTCGACATTTAGCTATAGCATCAGGTACGTCTGGTCGTACAGGATCTTCAATACCACATACACAAATACATGTTAATTGATCCACAACACTAGTTTCATCATTCCAATCGGGTAATTTATCTGGTAAAAAATCTCTATATGCTAAACATATTGTACGCAAACCATCAAGTGCCATTGATTCAACAAATGTTTGTACAAGACGATCATAATCAACAGTTGAAAATGGTATTATTTCTCCATTACGATTTAATATTGTTTTACATTTTTTTAAAACAATTTCTGATGCACCTTTTGTATACATACGTATAGTTGAATCAGGTCGTCGAATAACTGTTGACATATTTTTTCGTATTGAATTAAATCCATAAACATGAACAAATTTTTCTTTTGGATAACGTGTACGTATTTCATCATAACTTCCATCAAGAACACCAACAAAATCTAATAAACCACATTCAGTTTTATTTCCAACTTGTTTTGGTAATGTTTCTTTTTCTGTTGAAGACTAAAAGAAGAGGAAGAAAAATAAAAACAAAAACAATTTTCGTTATGAAGTTTTTTTTTGTATTTTGAAAAATTGAGAATTAACTTACTAATAATTCTGATGAATAATTACTATTAACGGATAAACCTTCAATTATAATTTCTTTTGTATTTGCTGGTATAGTAATTTCTTTAGCTTTAACTGGATTATCAATATTTTTCCAATGTTGTTCACCAACATAGACTTGTACAACAGTCATACCATTTGTTGTTAATATTCCTGTTTTATCAAAACATATTGTTGTTACATTACCGAGTGTTTCACATGCATCCAAATGACGAACTAAATTATTATCTTTCAACATTTTCTAATAAAAGAAAAAAAAATATTATTTTATAGATAGTAAAATTTTTAATTATTTAACTTACTTTAACAGCATATGCTAATGATATTGTTAGAGTTAATGATAAACCTTCAGGTGAACTAATGATAAATACTGTTATACCAGTGGTTAAATATCCTACAATGTGACTACAGAATTTGCTACTCCATTCGTGTCTATAGAAAATATTTGAAAAACAAATTAATGAAAAAAATTATTTTTTTTTCGTTTACCTTTGAGCAAATTCTTCAATTACAAATGGTACCAATAGAACAAGTACAATTAAAATAAAAATTTTTCGGCCTAGAAGAAAAATTTTCTTTTTTAATATGTATAAGAGTCAGTATTATGATTGTGTATTACCAAAACAAAAGAGCTCAAAAAAGATGAACCTTTGATCAGTTGACCAATACTAGCAGGTACACGGCAAAACGGTCGTTTTTCGGTATTTTGCACATATACATATGTCATGAACGGATCAGATCAGAAAGCTGAAATTTTGTCTATGAAGAGATCTCATTGAATAATTACTTTAGTGAAAATTTCAGCTCTCTACATAATTTCTACTGCTTAGTAGACATCCCACAAAATCATGACTTTGAAAGGATTCGATTTCCCAAGATATGGAGCAGATAGAAGTTGGACTCATACAGATTTTTAGTACCTACTGAGTATTGCAAAGTTATGAAAAAATTGGCGTGTCTTCCATGAACATATCCTTTGAAAAGGAAAAAAAAAACTTTTTGAAAAATCCTTGTAGAATGGCACAGGGATTTTCAGAAAAAGATTTTCGACCAAAAGGCCTGGAGGAGGGTATAGAAATTTTTCAAAAAATCTTTTTTCATTTTGAAGAGATATTTTTATCGAAGAAACGCCAATTTTTTCATGACTTTATGATATTCAGTAGATACTAAAAATCTATGTGAGTCCAACTTCTACATGTTTCATATCTTGGGAGATTGGATCCTTCCAAAATCATGATTTTGTGTGAGATTTACTGAACAATAGAAACTATATAGAGAGCTGAAATTTTTATTAGAGTAACTACTCAATGAGATCTCTTCATAGACAAGATTTCAACTCTATAGCCTGATCCGTTCATGACATATGTATATGTGCAAAATACCTAAAAACGACCGTTTTGCCATGTACCTGCTAGTATTGGTCAACTGATCAAGATTTCATCTTTTTGAGCTGTTTTTTTTTGTTTTCGGTAATACAGAATCATAATATCTACTCATTGTGAAAATTTCAATTCAAATGCATGTATTCTTGATGAGGGTACAGATGGTAGGGTGTAGGCGTTCGTTCAGATCACCCACATCTTTATCATTTGTTATGCAAATGATACTGACGATGTTAGATTATTTTATCTCTTATTTGATAAGAATCACTTATATTTACTATGATGAAAAAACTGGACAATTTTCTATATAGTATCTCTGACAAAAACAGTAGAACTTCATAACAAAAGAAAAGGTATAACTTAACGTTTTGTGAAACTAATATGCATTATAATTGCAGAAATACGTCTGATTTGACTTGCCCATCTCTATTTCGATTGAACAGCTTCTGTGAGAGTCGGGCATGGCTTAAATGAATTAGCTCATAAATCAAAAAATAGTTTGAATTATTTCGAAAGAATTTTTAATCATATAAAGATAATTAATTATAGGAAGAGATGCAATTAAAACAACTTGATTGATATTAATTTTTACCTGTATGTGTAATTTGATTAACTAATTCTGTTAATTTTGCTTGTAAAGTTGTTCGTTCTTCAAAATTAAGACGATCAGAATCATCTTCATTATTTGCTTGGTTGGCATTATCAGGCATAACTTCTTGTAATTTAGCTGCATCTAAATAACAAAAGAGAATTTTTTTGCTTAAGATTATCACAACAAATGATAAGAAAGAAGCTTTTTTTGATTGGTGATTTAGTAGCAATTACCAAGTTAATATTAATATAGAATTAACGACATTAAAATAAAGAAAAATACCTGCAGTCGATCCTGGTTGTGCTTGACGTTTGCTAACATCTGCATCGGCAGTAACATCTGAATATGTGTATTAGGGATAAGTTTAGGGAACATTTAAAGTTTAAAATAAGATCTATATATCATACTTTGTTTGTTATTATCATTTATTTTTTTATCATCATTATTCTCTTCTTTGATTGTGCCTAATACTTTACATATCATTCCCATTTGACTGTGTTCACCAACAGCCAAAACTAACATTTTACCACTACCTTCCATAACATGCGTACCTAAACAAATATTCAAAACAATGAATAATTTAATTTTGATTATTTAGTTTTTTTATCAATAAGAAAAAAAAACGACTTTATTAACCTGAAAGAAGAAATGGATCTCCTGATTCATGTTTTTTAATTAAATCTGATTCCCCAGTTAATGATGATTCATCAACTTTGAGATCATTTGATTGTACAACAATACCATCAGCTGGTAATAAATCTCCATAATTAATTTGACATATATCACCAACAACAATATCTTTTATTGGAATTTGGCGTACTGTACTTTCTCTAATAACATTACATTTTTGATCAAGTTCAATTTTTGATTGAAGAGCACGAAATTGTCGTTCATTTACCAAATCATTAAATGTTGTTACGAGAACAACTACAAGTACGGCACTAATAATTACTATACCTTCAATCCATGCAACATTTGCTTCCTCTAAAAAATTAAATAAATGCAAACAAAAGTTGTCCTTCGTCTCTTTTTTGTTTTTTGTTATTAATTTACTTGGTTTTCCTTCAGCTTCAAATGTTTCTCCACTTGGATAATAAAATGATAAAGTTAATAAAATGATAGCAAATATAATAATTTTAACAGGTATAATATTTTGTAAACTATCAAGCATAAGACGAAAAAATGTTTTTGGTAGCTTTGATGGAATTTCATTGCGATCAAATGCAGCGATACGTGTTGATAAATCATTTTCATCACTAGATAGACCTTGAAACAAAAAAGAAATCAATTCAAAACTAATTTAAATCGTTTTTAGTTTTATTTCACCGGTTATTAAATTTGTTTTGAGCTTTTGTTCAAGACCACTAAGACCACCATATGTTTCATTTAGCTGTTGAATACCTTCATGACCTCGTGTTTGCATTAATGTTTCTAATTCTTGAATGGAAATTCCAAATTCACGACCTGCGTATTCAGAAGATGAATCAGCATGATCGTCAGTGGATTTTTTCTTTTTTGCCATCACTGTTTCTAACAGAAATCTGAAACAAAGTGTTAAATGACATTTTATATTCGTAATCAAAGTGAAAAGTGACACTCTGACTTTTTAAAGTATCAAAGTTTCCAAGGTGTAAATTGTTAGAATTAGATTAAAAAAGAAAGAAATATTTCACATGAATTTATCAGAGCTATCCTGTTGGGAGAAAAGTTCACATCTCAATCGCGCGAAATTCCCATTTTCGATAAGCAAATATTCAGCGTTTTATTCAGTTTTTCTTCTCACTAATTTCAAAAAATATCACTGGAATCTTCGAAATTCTTCCAATCAATCTCTTGAGTTGTTGGTCTCGCCGCCCCCCCTTCTGATTCTCTTATACTTTGATAAAGTTTGTTAAGTTGAAGTTAATAATTTTAAGGTCAACCTCCTCCCCCCCGTTTCCGCTGTTTCTGGAGAACGGCTCATCAGAAAAATTTGAAATTTTCAGGGCAGGCACATTTTGACGATTAGAGAAAAGTTGTCATAGACACCAAATTCTTGAATGCTGTCTTCTATGAGATACTAGGTTCGCAATAGCGAAAAATTACCCTCAATTTCGCCCCTGTTTCTCCAAGGTGCTACATTCGATCGAGCTGAAACTTTTTTTAACAGTACTAGACACTGTTTGTGGTGGGTAGCTTTTTGTGTTTCCCTTTTATATTTTGTCCTTCCAACAAGAAAGCCAAAATATCGAAGGCATCCTAAAAACGCATGTTTTTTTAATTGAGCTTGTTTTGTAAGAGCTCCAAATAATCACCCAAGCAATATTTTATAAAACAAAAAAGGATACCAACCTCAAGCAGTGTCTAGAATATGGGGGAAAATTTCAGATCGATCGGACTTACTTTGCTGGAGAAACGGAGGCAAATCTGCCATGTTTTGGTGAAAAAAATTATTTTGAGAAAACGCGAAGCAATTTACAATTTCGGTATGTAAGGTTGATTTTTCCCTAATTGCTTTTTTGGTTTAAAAACAATATTCGGGTCCCAAAATGTAGGCAGTAGATAGATGCTACTTGACATTATACAGTGACCTCAAAAAACAAAACCAAAAAATTTTGAGTCAAGAGAATGGGTACCATTAAGCTTTGAAGTTAAAGCAGATTTTCCCACTAGATTTCTTTTTTGCAAAAAAATAGTATTTCTTGCATTAAAAAAAATCATCTTTTTTAAAAGATCATTTTTTCACAAAAAAATAACACTTTTTCATATATATTTCCTTTCATTATGAAAAAAAATATTTTTTACAAAAAAAATTGTGAAAAGTATTAATTTAACTCTAAGTTTTTGAAAATCAAAGTTTAAAGTTAAAGTGCTACCCATAATCAAGACACTCTTGCTACGTCACTAGATAAGATCAAATAGAAAACAGACAACTTTTAGTATTTACTGACATCCGATGAACAATTCTTTTACCTAATATCTTATATAGACGAGGTAAAAGAAGCATAAAATAAAAATAAACGGCAGTTTACTTTACACATGGAAGATAGTGTGTCTAAAGTAAATTGGTACCGCAAAGTGTAAATTATCCTCAACTAATATCCTCGCCACAATTAAAGAGGGGCTGGTGTAAATTGAATGATACAACAAGGGCAAGAGATAGCGACCTGAGGTTTTCACCAATCGAGAGAGGCGACCGGAGACGTCTTTTTTCATGACATGGTTTCGGACCAAATTGTTTTGGACACTGTCATTTCTGGAAATCTTTTCTGAGAATTTCGCTGATTTTTTATTAAGTTTGCGCATTTTCTATCATAATGGCTTGATATTTTGATGAAAATGTAATGAAAAGTAAGGAAGCGCATTGAATCTTGAACTACAGATCTGAAGTTCCTATCTAATGAGAAAATAAAAATAAAAATTCATTGTATTGACATACCATCTATACGTGGTCTCAGAAAAATGTTTCCAGAAATGACAGTGTCCAAAGCAAGTTTGTTCGAAATAATATCGTGAAAAAATACGTCATCCGGTCTCCTTTTTCGATTGGTGAAAACCGCAGGTTGCTACCTCTTGCCGTTGTTGAGTTATTCCATTTACACCAACCCCGCTTTAATTCTGGCGCGGACATTAGTGCCTGCTTGGCACTTCGTTTTCATAAGCAATGTGTAAAATAGAGTGTCAATCAAAGATCGCAAGGATCTTGGATACTTTGTCATCATGGTGGTTCCTTGCTGTTAAAAACACTGTTTGTCATATAGGATGGGTGTGGGTGTGAGATGACACTGAAGAGACCCACACCGCTTTTGTATTTTAATTCCAGCAAACTTAGTTTTTAGTCAATTGTAAATTTGTTTCTTATGAAATGATAAACGATAGAAACTGTACAGCCAAGGTCATTTTTGAATTTTTCGAAGTACTCAAAAAGCACAAAATTGCTCAATGATCATCGCTGCCTTCATACTCAGCCGATATTAATATCTATTCAACAGAAAAAAGCATAAATTTAATGTTACATCAATCATATTGGCCATATCTAATACTATATAATCTTGGCTTAAATAACTCTATCGAACGACGTTTAACTGAGTAAATTAATGAAATTGCCATAGCTCATGCTGTTTCCAAGGTAACTAAAATTTTTTTTTGAAAAAGAGTTCGAAAAACCTTTCAACAAATTATTAAAAAGCATTGAACTTGCTATAAATAATCATAATAACTATTGTTGTCATTTGATGAAATAAAATAAGAAATATCCCCTTATCTTCGTATTTTTATTTAATGATGACAGAACTTTTGGTTAACTCAAGATATTGTTAGTCAACTTGACGTGCTCTATTCAGTCATGTATAAATAAACGAAACAAAAAACTGTTACTTGAAGGTCGAATAGCTCGCACTTTAATTATATATGTATGTATACGTGCACAGTATGGGCCATTAATGTGATGTTCTATGCTGAGAGCGTTCTTAGATCACGTTTAACCATTTCTGGCTCTTTTTCGCCTCGCTCTTCGCCTATGCGTACTTGGGAATAACATTCTTGAAATGTCCTTCCCTCGTACATAGATATTTTTCTGTTATTGCGTTTATTGTATTTTCGCAAGGTCGTTCTATGTACATGAAGTGGTATATAAGGAACGAGAAAAATACAGTATAGATGCGATTCTTGATAAGAAGGAATATAATAAAGCCTAATTTCATCCACACAAGCATCTCTTCTATCTAAAGTCGTCACAATTAATAACAGTACAATAAAAATATTGAGTAGCTCCCCCCCGCCTCTGCTTCAATCGAATGGGTCAGTTATTTTATCAAAAATAGAGAATTGTTAAATTGTTTTTTCATAAGAGACACATTGACAAAAATATGTCATTATCTGCTATTATTGACCTCAATAAAAAAAATCTGACTTTGTGCGTGTTGCGAAATAAGTTTTATGTTAGTAGGGCATGTTTTTAGACCCAAAAAGAATTAAACTGAGAGCATCCCACTAACATTTATAAAATGTTCTAATTAAATGGAACATGGTTTATTTATAACAATATGTTTGTCAGCAGTATCTTTTCGAAGATCCATTTTACAAGGCTACATTTATTTACTGGAGTGAATAATAATAGGTCATGACATATTTATATCTATGTTTTTCTTATGAAAGAAACTTTGAGCGAACCTCTACCACCAATAAAAAAAATCAGTTCATGTGATTTAAACAGAGTAGACATATTTTTAATATTTCTATCTTATTCTACATATCTCCCGCCGTCTGTGTACAAATAGTCAAAAGTATCTGAATATCGACAATTTTTTCTGTATTTCTTTATGAATGCAGAAAACATAAATGATACACCAGAAGATTTCTCAAATTTAAAAATAATGGTCGAAATTACTAATTTAATATAGGTAACATGGTATAAAGTGAGAACGATTTACTAGTTGGAGAAAAAATCTTACCCTTTTTGCTCCAATGCAAATTGAGAAATGAAAAAAAAATACAGATGAAACGATATTTTGTTTTGATTACATGTATGTAGGCATGGATGCATTGCATGTAAACACGACACGCTGCTAATGCATGTGTTGCCACAAAAGTAAACGTTCGATTATTAATGAGTGCACCAGATTAAATGACGTTGATTTTCAATCATTTAATACGTTGTATTAAAAAAAAATAAACATGCCAGCAGATGTAATGTGAAAAGCTCTACAATTTACAGAGTAAAGCTGATTTTATTTGCCTAGTTTTTGTCTTCAAAATAAGCAAAAGTCTGTGCAACCAATTTTCAACGCTGCAAAACGTCGTCACACAGAATTGAGCTGTTTTTAGAAAACAAAAAGTACATAATTAAAATAAACTTTACACAGTAGATTGCTGAGCTTTTCACATTGCATCTGCAGGTATGTTTAGGTTTTTTAATACAACGTATTAAATGATTGAAACTCAAGATGATTCAACCAGGTGCACTCATTAATAAACGAATGTTTTTTTTTGTGACAACACGAGCGTTAGCAGCGTGTGATGTTTACATGCAATGCATTCATGCCTACATACAGGTAATCAAAACAAAATATTGCTTCATCTGTGTTTTTTGTATTTTTCAATTTGCATTGGAACAAGAAAAAATAAGGGTGTGGGTGTGAGATGACACTGAAGAGACCCACACTCTCAAAGTAGCCTAAATGTTTCAACTGTGTAAGTGATCACATGTACCACTTTATTCAGAATTTAATTGTGCATCCGATAGTACGAGAATCAGCATTTTATAGGACGAGTCTGACTTGTAATAAGACATTTTTTGATAGTTCATCTAAAAGGATCGTGAGGTATTAGTTTGCAACATTTTCCTACTGAGCAAAACATTTATAACCATGCTAAGATTGCCAGCAAGTATATAAAATGACTCTCTATCTTTTAGTGTACAGTACTAAGCTTTGAACATCAGCCTTTATGAGCAAACGCTCATATAAATTGTTTTTTATGGGTAGAAAATAGGATCTCGTAATCTTGCAATGCGGTACACTTCAATCTCATAGATTTTATGCC